AACTGAAAGTCTATTACAGACCGATCCGCTCCAAATGGAATCCTAACAGAGATGGGTCCACCTTTTTTTTAATAGAATCCTGCTACACATGGATTCACCTCTAACAAAATCCTATTACAGATGGATCCACCTCTATTTGAATAGTATTAGAGGCGGGTCCACCTATAATGGGATCCGATTAGACATGGATTCACCTATAATGGAATCCTATATGAGATGGATCCACCTCTAGTGGGGTCCTATTAGCGATGGATCCACCTCTAAGATCATCCCATTCCAGATATTTCCATCCTAATAGAATCCGATGACAGATGGATCCACCTCTCATAGAATCCTAGTAGCGATTGACCCACCATTTACACCCCCTCCCTACAGAAGGTTTTCTTTTGTGGCGGATTACGAATTGATTCCTTTTGTGGCAAAATATACAGTGATTCCTTTTGTGTCGGATTACAAATGGATCCCTTTTGTGGCGAATTACAAATCAATTGTGTTTGTGGCGGGTTTCAAATTGATTCCTTTTGTGGAGGATTTGAAATGGATTTCTTTTGTGGCGGATTACAAATTGATTACAAGGATGATGATGATGCTGGTGATGGCGATGCAACGCAGCAAAACGAGGTGGTACGCACACACGGTTTTATCAACTCCACGGGGGTCTGGGGACCGATCTAAGCTGCCGTCGTCTCAACGCGCCCTGCTCCGAGAAGGGAAGGGCGGAGGGAAGGAAGAGGAGGGAGCAGCATGAAAGGATAGGGGGAAAAAGATGGAGACGGGAGGGGGGCGGACAAAGGAGGGAACGCGAAGGAAGGAGGATCCAGGGGAGATTGTGGAGGGGAAAAAGGGCCAGCCACGCGCAGAGGGGGGTGGGGGGAGGGGGAGGGCTTCTGCGATGCACCCCTGCTTCCCAGAAGGCGCGGGTCTTATCAACAGATGTACGGCCGGCGCCTTCCAAGAGGCAGCCTCCTTCTGAGAAGCCTTCACCCCTCCATCCACCGCCTTGTGCGCGCCGTCAAAAGGGGGAGGAGTGATTGTCGTGGAGGGGGTAGCACGGTGGCACGGAGGGACTAGGGGGAACAGAGAGAGAGGGAGAAGCAGGGTCGGGACAGAGGAGGGTGCGGGGAGGAGGAAGAGGGAGGGGGGGGCCGAAGGGAGGAGCAGAGAGGAAGGAGGTGTGAGGAAGCAGTAGGAGCAGCGATGGAGAACAGGAGGAACGAGAATGGAGGAGCTGCAGGGAGGATGATGAGGAGGAGGAGCCCATAGAAGGAAGGACGAGGGCGGTCGAGGAGACAGGAGGGGGGAGGAGGGGGCGGAGGGGGAGAGAGGAGGAATCGGACGAGGAGTTGGATGAGTTGGATGAGTTGGAGGAGGGAAACGAAAGACAAGCAGCTGGAGGAGTAATGCGATGAGCAAGTGCGCGAGAGGGAGGGACTACGGAGGAGAAGGGAGGTAGAGGAGGAGCAAGAGATTGGGCAGGAGGAAGAGGAGGTGCACCAGCAGTATGAGAATTGATGAGGAGTGGGGGTGAGGAGCCAGGAGTGTGAGCTAGGGGAGAAGACTAGTAGAGAGAAGAAGTGAGAGTCAGGCGTGGGAGTGATAATGATGATGAGGAGGAGGAGGAGGAGGAGGAGGAGTGGGTGTGAGGAGGAGGAGGAGGAGGAGGAGGAGTGACGGGAATTCGTCTGTCCGTGGGTGATAGCTTGCCTTGCCTTGTCATCACAGAAAGATTCGGATACGCTCGGTCTGCATGATTGAACGTGCTCCTTGAACTAAGTTCCCCCCATGTGTGGCAGCATTGTATGTGAAGCCCCTCGTAAGATAGCACTGCCACATTGCGAATATTAAGGTGAGGTGCCAGAACACACGGAGCAATGCGAACATCAAGGGATGAAGCCGAAGTTTGCTTTGAGGCGGTAAACAGCAACCCATGATTCACAGTTTCCGCTCCGCATGGGCAGTTGTTCGAAGCCGTAAGCCCAAATCCAAGTATTGCGAACGATTGCCACGGCGTTCAGAAAATGCATTGCGCATTCAGATTACACTACCCAGGAAGCTCAGAAGACAACCCTTGAAGTAGATACCCCAGTTGTGTGAGTCCAACCACTGGAGATGCGCCTGGGGGGGCGCGGGCAAGTGCCATGGACTAGCTCTCGTATGTCTCCCAGCCTTTTGCCCTGGGTGGGACGCCGTGCACGCGGAGCACGAACGAAGCCACAGCCTCCCGTGCGCTCGAGCCGACCCACGAAAAAAACAGCCCACGTAGATGGATGAGAAATGCGTGAGCAATGCCCACCCGCCAGGCTCTTGCTTGGATTATACCAGAAGACGCGTGCGCGCGCGAGAGGGAGAGAGAGACAGAGTGTGCGCGCGTGTGAGAGCAAGAGAGAATATGTGTGAATGTGTGTGCATGTGTATGTGTGCGTGCATGCGTGTGAATGTGTGTCTGTGCTTGTGTGTGTGGTTGTGTGGTTGTGTGTGTATGTGTTTGGTGTGGTTGTGGTTGTGTCGGTGCATGTGTGGATGTGTGCTTGAGTGTGCGCGTGTGTGTGTGTGTGTCTTCGTGTGTGTGCGTGGTTGTGTGTGTCGGTGTGTCTGCGTGTGTGTGGTTGGGTGTTTGTCTTTGTGTGTGAATGTGTGTGTGTGTGTGTGATTGCGGGTTTGTGTTTGTTCGCATGCGTGTGTGTTTGTGTTTGTGTGTGTGGTTGTGTGTGTGAATGTTTGTGGATGTGCGTGAACGTGTGTGAACGCGTGTGGTGTCACCTTCACACACAGTCTAGCGAGAGGGACAAAGGGAGACAGAGAGAAAGAGAGAGTGAGCTAGAAAGAGAGAGAGAGAGAATACATAGAGATCTGGAGAGACAGGGACAGAGATAGATAGAACGAGAGAGAGAGAGAGAGAAATAGAGACAGAAAGAGAGAGAGAGAGAGAGAGAGCGAGACGGCCTGCCGTCGATATCGGATGCGGCCTGTCTGGCAGCATTGCCCCCCCCCCCCCAGAAAAAAAAGTCGCGCGAGGCGAGGTCAGGCTGGAGCCGTCGGCTCGAATCCTCCCTCCACCCCTGGGACGCTCGCACGCCAGTGTGTCGAGCCCCCCCCCCCCCTCCGTTCGGAACGCTGGGCCGCGAGGACTCGAGGTGAGAGTGGGCAGGGCCCCTACGGTAGGTTTGCGTCGTGTCGACCAGCGGCGACCCCAGCGCGGACGTTCAAGGTTGAACGCCGCCGGCGACGCAGAATCGATCGATGTTGAACGATCGGACGTTGCGGCAGCGGCAGATCATTCAAGGTTGAACGATCCCTGCGGTGTCAAAAACCAACGCTGGGGTCGGCACGACACGAACCTGCCGTACCTCTTCGCATCGTGAGCAGAACCATGGCGCGAGGTTCTGACGGTTTTCGGACTCCTGGGGCCCTTGCGAATCGTCAAACAGACGATTCGTGATGGGGGTCCGCGCAGTACAGCGAGAGATCATGACGTCGGAGCTCTGGAGAGTTCTCGACTTGTCCCGATCATCCTGTAGTGTTGGGTCCTCGTTTTGAAGAGACAGCGCCCCGCAGTGGCCGCGGCCGAATACCAAGTGCAGCGTTTCGTGCCCACCTGAGGGGCCCAACCGAAGGCCCCAGCGGCCGCGGCCGCATGAGACCCCCCCACCCAGTAGAGCGCTTCGTGGCCCCAAAGGGAGCCCCACCGAAGGCCCCAGTGGTCGCGGCCGAATGCGTCCCCTCCACACAGACAGTACAGCGTTTCGTGGGCCCATAGGGGGCTTCACCGAAGGCCCCATTGGCCACGGCCGCGCGTCGTGGCCCCATAGGAAGCTCCACCGAAGTCCCCCCAACAAATTGCAGGACACCCCTCATGCGCTCCGTGGCCCCATAGAGAGCTCCGCCGAAAGCGGTACCCACAACACGGTATGCACAATTGCATATGGTTGGGTCTTTCACCAGGATCGTTCCATCATTTCTCACCAGGGGCGTGCACTTTGGTGTTTTTGTTATCACCCAGGCCGAAGTCGGCTGTTCTGGATTCTTGTTGTGCCTCAATGACGCTACCGCTCTGTTGCGCAAGCCCGCGCAACGTCAAAAGGAGGAGCCCTGAGGAACAGGTCTGGATCTCCGTGGGGCCCAGTCCACCTTGCGAACAAAATCACGACGCCAGAGTTCTGAGGAGGAGGAGGAGGAGGAGGAGAAGGTCGTGCCACTCTCTTATCGTTTTTTGTCTTGCCTCTCGCCGCTTATTCTCGGTGGTTTTCCGTGGCTGCTATCCAAGGCGACAGCTGCCTCCGGTTGCGCCCTCAACGCCTGATGGGGGCTGCGTGGCTGTAGGCAGACGTTGCCCATCTCCTTCACCCCCTCCTCCTCCTCCTCCTCCTCCTCCTCCTCCTCCTCCTGCTCCTCCTCCTCCTCCTTCTCCTCCTCCTCCTCCTTCTCCTTCTCCTCCTCCTCCTCCTCCTCCTCCTCCTCCTTTACCCCCCCCAACCCTTCTGGCGAAGACTGAGGTTTGGCTGCCGCTGCTCTGCTCTGTCCCGCCCCTCGTACCCGCCTCCCCCCTCTTCGCCGGCGATGCATGCGCGGCCATTCTGGACGCATGCAGTGAGGAGGGCCCAGACCCCCGACATCCAGATGTTCTCAGTGCGTGGGCCCCCAGGGGCCTGCCCCTCTTCCCGAGGATCCGCTTTTCGTCCAGAGTGTTCTTGAACGGTCCAGGGGCCTTGAAAGGCCCCCGGAGGCCGAAGATTACTGTCAACCCACCGCCGTGTGTTTTTTCATGATGCGAGGGGGTTTGGGGAGGAGGAGGAAGTCCTTTGTGATCGTTGAGATCCGACGACGCTGAACAATCAACATCGAGGAAAATCTTGACCAGAGTTCGCACCCCACTGTTGTGCTGCATGTTTCGGGCCGGACCGATACGCGAGGATCCCGGAACCCGAAATTGGGCGGAATCGCCCGATGCGAAAAAATGCAACACCCGGATCTCGTCTTCAGTGATTCTCAGTCGGCCCGAGGACGGGGGCGGCAAGCTCACCCGCCTGGGCTACCTGGCGGGGTCCGACCGCGTGTTGGCGCCGAACGGCGAGGCGGACGACGCCGCAGGCGCCGTGAAGGTGCACGCCTCGGAGGGGGTCGTGCTCGGCATCCAGGAGCCCGGGGCAGTTCAGGGGCAACGCTGCGGGGGGACAGGCTCAGGGTGGGGCGCATCGACCCCCAGTCGCCCACGCAGTGCCGATAGGGGCCCAATCGCCCCACCCCGCCCAGGACCTGGCATCGCTCGGACGTGTGAATTTTTTTCTCGGCGAGGACCATCGAGGAGCATCCTTGATCATTTGGCGAAACAACCACGCATGAAACCGAAAAAAACACAGGGAATGGACGTCCGAGCGATGGCGAGAGGAGCGTGCGGGGATTCGCTGTCGGAAACCCATCGCCCATCCATCGGCGATCTATCGCCGATGCCAGGCCCGTGCTTCCCCCCTTGAGCTGGCCCTCCCGAGACGTTGCCCCTCGGCGGGCGGCCGCACGAGGGCCGACCGTTGCGGCCGGACCAAGCCCGGACGTGTGTTCGGTGTTGACCAACCGCTGCGGGAGGTTTTTGGCCGCTCGCGCCCCCTCCAGGGGGCCCTCGTCGGGCCCCGAGGCGTGCAAGACGGCTCGGGATGACAAGCCGGCCCTTGGGAAGAGGTGCAAAGGTCAGGGCTTCGAGGCCCCCAGCTTTCAGAATTCAAGATTCAGTATTTTCAACTGGCCCCTATTTATTCCGTTTCGATCTCCTCCACCCCACCGACCCAGCTGGGGATGGGCCCCACGAAGCCCGAAGGAAGCAGCCGACATCCCCCTCTAAGAGGGGGAACTCGGCCAGCGGGGCCCAGGCCACGCCAGCGGGGACGGGGATCGGCCCAACGGTGCCCAAAGCCGCCCGATGTCTCTGGACCGTTCGGGCTACCCCCCTGGCATCCGAGGGGGGTAAGGGGCGGCCGCGCGAGGGCCGCGCGCTCGGCCGACTCGATCCTGCGGGCTGCCCCCGGAGGAGGAGGAGGAGGAGGAGGAGGAGGAGGCTCGATCGACTCGGCCAGCGTCGATCATCGCGGTCGGTTTCGATCGCCCCGTCGTCCTCGGTCGGCCGGATCGAATCGATCCCTGAGGCGACGATAGGGGCGAAAGGCCAGGGGAGAGCAATACATCTATTCAGGTGCGCCGATGATCTATGTCTTCGTTCCCAGGCGAGTACGAGTAATGCCCGCCCCTAGGTTATTCGCCCCTACCGTTGCCGCCGACGATCGCCCGATCGTCTCGGTCGGCGCGAGATCGTTCTGGGAGGGCGCGCAGACGCCCCAGGCGGGGCTCGATGGGAGCGGCTGGCGGCGCAAGCGCTCCGGTCGGCCCCTCTGGTAGGCTGGGAGCCACGGCTCTCCCACGAGGAGCCCTCCTCATCCTCCTCCGTAGTCACTTTGGCTCAAGATGTCTGCTTTGCGCAAGCAGGAAATGGATACCGGTAGTCCGCGGCCAGTCCAATCGACTTTCCAGCCACACTCACGGGTGAGCTGGCACCCCTCCATATCCTTCACTCTCAGCGGCATATTCATATTCTCATGCGTCCTCGACCAGTTCCTGACGATTGAGTCCCTCTCGTCGTGGAGCTCGGACCTCATCGAATGGCACACCCGCGAGGACCCGACCGGCACGCTCTCACTGACGGTTCCGCTCCATCGGCTGGAGACCGCAGTGCTTCACGCAGTCCTAGTGAACGTCCTCCCCATCGTCGCCCCAACCACTACGACAAGCCTCGTGGTGAAGCGGGTGGCCGTCTCCGCGACAAAGAACCTCATCGCCAACAACACGAAGGAGAACGTGCGGTGGCCGTTCGGTTTGGCAGAGCTCGAGGTGTCGCAGCCCATGTGCCTGGCGGCGCCACGGGACCTTTTCCAGCAGCTGTTCCAGATGCCGCTCGCTCCGATCCTCTCCAGCAAGTCGACCCATGGCAACTCCAGCGTGAAGCTCTTGCTGCCGCCATGGAGGATGGAGAGCCGCCTACCTCCCCTGCATCGCAGCAAGCCGAAATCGATCGTGCACGTGCTCCTTCCATGGCAAACAAGGGTCAAGGGAAAGGTCCGCCTACCGACGTGCCTCCTGGTGCAGCATCACCACACCCTCCTGCGCCTGGCTCCATCGAGGCACTCTCGGCATCTCTGTACGACCAGCTCACTCAACATGTGGACTCGGCCATGGACACCTTCAAGAAGGCCACTGCGCGGACGCTCACCTTCACCATTCATGTGTACCAGCAGAAGACGGACCAGCGCCTGGGCGCCACCGTGGGGGAAGTCGCGGACCTCAAGCGCAGGCATCGGCAAGCCATCGACAGCATCAATCGGACACTTGCTCTCGCTGTAGCCGCCATACCTGTGGTCAACTTGGCCGCAGCCCGACCCTTCTGTGTTCTCTATTGGATGTCAAGAGCTCGTCTCGCCTCAACAACTGCGAGATGATCTTCAAAGCTGGTTTCAAGAATCTGCGATGTACTTGCCAAGCGGTTCACTCTATGGCTTCTCGGCGACAAGAGTGTTGTCGTCCCCAGAGCTACGGCGCTTGCACGCGGTCTCAAGCTACGCGGGGGTGAATGGAGATCTTTCACGAGTACCTCTGTGCTGGGGCAACGTGCCCCTCTCTATGTTCGGGGGAGCGTAAGACCCGGGTTTGCTAGGACTCGGGTTCGCCATCGTTTTTTGACGACCGCGCCTCGGATTTTGACGAGGAGGAGTTTCGTGGGATGTCTGCAGCGGGAGGCCTCGTCAAAATGCAGGTTCGGCCTCGTCATTTTATGACGACCTCGACGGGGATTTCCGAGTCCCCTGTACCCAGGTCTTACGTCCCCCTGATATGTCAATACTGACCGTAGTGCTCGACAATCCCGACGTGCAATTCATGCCCGACGGCTCCACAAGATTCTTGAATCTGATTATGCCAACGTCTCGCTCCGGCCCTACAAACAACGTGGCCGCGTCACGCATGACAGTGTTTCACTGGCACGGTTGGAGAGTGGCACGACCGCATTTATGCCCACCAAAATTGAATGGAATCGCGAACTCGCAGCCCAACGTGGCATCAACTGCCCCGCTGTCGAAAAGCGCTTCTTCGACTGCTCGACGAGGACAAGGCCATGTCGTAGGGGTAACTTTCAGCGGACTGGTCGCTCCAAACAGGGCATTCAGATTATCACGTGGGACGCTCGCAGCCTGCCCACTATCGACCGCCGACGTCGCCAAGCTAAGCTACAACTTCCCCTGCCATATCTGCGGCAGGGATACATCATTGCCGCGCAGGAAGTTCAAGGTTATGCAGCTCGCCTTCAGCGATTTCTGCAGAGTACTCCTTACTATTACGTGACGTTCTACTCCAACAGCGGCCTCTCGAGGACGGGAGGCGTCGCGCTTCTCTTTCCCAAGTTGGCTGACATCGATGTCATGGATCTGGATGGCCATTCGCCGCATGTCCCTGGCACTCCGACACCTTCGACGCCCTCCACTGCCTCGCGATCCCCATCTACGCCCACCAGCTCAAGGTCTTCCTCTTCGGCCACATCCTCGGCCTCATTTTCTGATCACCTACCAGGTGAACACCCTCGGCTGGGCCACCGGGGTTCTCGCGCCCCCGCTGGCCAAGGGACGGCGCATGCATTGTTTTTTTTTTGGGGGGGAGGGGCGGCCATCCATGGCGAAGGGACAGAGGTCCCAGATGTTGGCCAGCCTGGATTGGGAAGGTCTCCAGAGATCCCATACTACGTCTCCGTAATCTCTGACCGCGCAATGCTTCTTCATTGCGCTCTAGTTCCAGGACGCGTCCAGGTTCTCGAGGTCCATCACGGAAATGCACGCGCTGCTGCCTGCATGAACATCCACAACTGCGAGCCCGCGCAGGACCAACGGCGAGCCGTCCAGACTGACTGGCTCAGGTACCAGCAGCGGGCACAGATTGCTCCGTTATCGCGGATTTTCGCTGCCCTCGGCGACTTCAACATCCACTACGAGCCTGTTGTCTCCTTCGTGGACCCGCAGCCCATGAGCCTCGCCATCATCGGGGGTGATCAGCACCATCAGCCATTCTGGGATAGTCTCTTCGCATCGACGACCGAGGTCTCGAGTGGAGAGCCCACGGCTTCGACGCCCAGGATTGACCGCGTCTTCGTCAGCCCCCCTGCTCACGCTTACCCGAACCTGTCGCTCACGCTGAAGGTAGACAAGGATCATGCCGTTCTCAGCGACCGTCGCCTCAGTGATCATGCACCCCTGGATCTCACGATTGCGATTGCGGTTTCCAAGACGAACGATACCCAGCCCATCCCCGCCTTCATTTTCCAGGTTCCCCGCTACAAGCAGAATGTCTCGCTTCTTCTTCTTCAGCACTCGCAGTTGCAATTTGCGACGGTGGAGCGACGATGGGTTGGTTTCAGGAACATCATGACTGAGGCGGCTCTCCTCGCTCGCAATCAACTCACCACGTGTCCCGGCACTCTGCGCTACCAATCTGCTGCGGGGGCACGTCGATCACGCACCGTCCAATTTCACGGGCCATGCGGAGACAGGATCTCACCCTGGCCCACGCGCCCATGAACACCACGGAGATTGGCAAGGACTCCCTTTGCATCGATGAAGGAAGGGCTGGCCTACTGGATGCATCTAAATTTGCGGAAGCTCGCGTCGTGCTCATCTACAATATCCCCGCCCCCGCAAAGAGCAAGCGGCCGCTGCGGCACAACGAGCTCAGCAACAAGGTCGCACGCTGGAAGTGGATGATCAACTCAAGCAAGCCCGCGCACTCCAGAAGAGAAGCAGGGCCCGGGGTCCGTTTTCACGAGTTCTGTCTCTGACTGAAGTTCGTCTCGCGAACGAGGAAGGTACAGTCACGGACCCTGCTGCGCAAGTGGAAGCACGCGGGATCACTGGCTGCCCATCTTCTCGCACAAGCAAGTGGACGAACAGGCTCTCAAGGACTACATATGCCAATTTGCCCCTCCGAACATCACCGCGCCGAAGCGCATCATCCCTTCCGCTGCTGTCTCGCGTCGCGTCGCCCTCCGTGCTCGCGCGTCAGCGCCTGACCCCGATCGCCCCCCATACCGAGAAAGGGCAGGTCACGTGGAGCTTCTTCGAGACTGGCGCTGCTCCGCCCACGCTCAACGACTCGATCTTCTCGTTCACCCCGAAGGGCGAGGAGGAAGCCGCCCACTTCCGTTGCGCGCGCGACGCAGGAAATTTGCGCCCGATCTCTCGGAAGAACACCGACGCCAAGATATCCGCGGGAACTCTTAACCTTCAACCCAGATCCCACGAGGAATAACATGCTCATCATGACCAACACGGATTCATTCGCGGACGAAAATTCTGCAACGGTGTTATGATGATGGGCGCCAAAGGCTGCTGGCAGGATGGAATGCGAACGCTTCTCTTGACAAGCCTGTCCTGCTGCCCTTCGACCTCGTTGCTGCGTTCCTCTCCCTGGGGAGGCAATGGCCCTTTCAGGCCCTCAACCAGTTCCAGTTCGAGATGGGCATTCTCAAGGCGGTTGCTGCGCTGTACGATCAGGCCATGGGCTTCACCACTCTCGATGGCCAATGCGACTTTGCGTGCCCCCTGGAGTCTGGAGTAGCCCAGGGCTGCCCCCTGTCTGGCACCACCTGGGCCATCGCGATGGACGTCATCATCAGAGCTGTCAATGTTGCGATGCCCAACCCCAAGGATGGCATGGCGGCTGCCTGTGCTGATGATCTCGAACTTTACCTTCGGCGCATGGCTCTTATGGCCCCGTTGGCTGATTTGTTCACCAAGCTGCGGCACTCGGCAATCTACATCTCAATCTCAAGAAATTCGTCATCAGTCCCCTGTGGGCGAAGCTGACCAACGTGATCCGAGACGACGTCATCACCTTTCTCCAGGGCCATCTTCCCGACTGGGCCCCATTCAAGATTGCGGCGGAAGGTTTGCAGCCTGGGGCGCATGCAGGCCCCGATGCGGACGACGACCTCCAATGGGCCGCTGCTCGGCCCAAGTGGCGGCAGAGCGTCGCGGCCATCGGCAGCGCGTCAGCGCCCGCGGACGCCTACGCGAGGCTCTACCAGACGTCGGCGACCACCGTCCTCGGCTACCCGGCTCAGTTCTGTGATCTCCCTCCAAAGCTCAAGCGAAGGGGGATACATGCAGTTCACAATGTTATTCGAATGCCTGCAAGCACCTTTCGCCTCAAAGATGCCCACTCGCTAAGCAACTGGGTGCCTGGTGTTGCGCCGCGCTCCCTGTTCATATATTCGCTCGGGACTCGATGGCGGGCCGCTCATTTCACCTTCAACCTCCGGCAGCCTCTGTCCCAGGAGTTCCTCGAGATCGCCCAGTCGGCATGCGTACTTCCTGCGTTCGTGAAGAACAAATGGTCGCCCGTCATCTGGAAGGATTCGCAGGCGATTGCCCAGCGCCTCAACGAGATGATCCAGGGCCGTTCTGCCCAGGTTCCTGCTCATCGTCACCACGATCTTCTACGCGCTGGTGTCATTGCCCACCGAGCCGTTCAGGGCGCCGCTGAAGCTGGACCCAAACCCAAACCGCAGCGAGCATCCATCACAGCCCTCACCGCCCACTGGATGAAGGACGATTTCGAGATCACCATCGCCAAGCGGCTCACGGTATGGTTTGGGGCTGCTGTCGTGTCGCATGACATGAAGATGCGTTGGGCCACCCTCAAAAGCTTCCTGGTGTCTGTGGCTCCGTCGTGGCGGTGGATCACGCTGCTGACGCTTGCGGGTGGCTGGCACACGAGCTCTCGCATGCATGTCGCTTCCGAGGTGGACCACTATCGTTTTGGGTGTCCGCAGCAAACAGACGCGACCGCCCATTATCTGGTTTGTGGACGGCACCAGCATCTGGTTTGCCTGCCGCGGACATTCTCGCAGGCCTCTGCGTTGGAGCGCCTGGGTCTTGGACACCACTATGATGAGCACGGGGGGCACCCGCTGTCGATGACTATCCAGCGCGTCCTCCTCGCGCACTACACGTACCTCGAGGTCAAGACCCAGGGCGCGAACGACTACACCCACAAGCACCACATGGGCGCGCGCCTGGCCGCCCTCGACCGCCTCAACATCTACAAGTCGCCTCCTGAGGCCTCGGCCCCCCGCCGCCGCGGCCGCGGCCGCGTCGTCACAGGAGCCCGCCCTCAGGCTACTGCCGCTCCTCCTCCTCCTCCTCCTCCTCCTCCTCCTCCTCCTCCTCCTCCTCCTCCTCCCTCCTCCTCCTCCTCCTCCTCCCTCCTTCTCCTCCTCCTCCCTCCTCATGTGGACCCTGCCGATTCGGGTCGATTCGGGGCCGGAGGCTTCGATCTCGCTCCGATTCGACTCCGCAGTCCAGCCTCCCCCTTTGGGTGTGTTCCCCGCGTGGGCTCCGATTCGGGCCGCGGGGCGTCGATCTCGACGCCGCCCGGTCTGCCCGCCGACTTCTGCAGATCCGGCGCACCTCGATTGCCGAGCCGATGTTCCGATCCGACGCGGGGGCTACAGCAGGCGCGTCCAATCAAAGACCAGCCTGCCAGCAGGTCCCGCACGGAAGTTTCTTATCCCCCAAGGGCTTCGGGGGGCCCTAAGAAGCTGTGGGGCACCTTCAGGACCCTAAAATATAGACGAAGGGTGTGCCACAGGACCTCTAACTATGTCAAGGTGTATTGCCGCATGTGCCTATTGCGTTCCTGGCCTCCCAGATGGGGTCCGAGCAGATGGGGTCGGAGGATCGTGCCACATCGCCGATGAATCGCCGCTGCGGTTCGATGTAGGGCCCGATGTTTTTTACGCCGACATCGCCGATGCATCTCCGATGCATCGGCGATGCATCGGCGATGCATTGGCGATGCGGCGCGATCCGACGACCTCATCTGTTCGGACCCCATCTAGAAGGCTTCTGTGTGCCCTGCCCATCCCGTGCGCCTGGCAGCCAGGAGCCGGGCAGGCGGCTGCACGCCTGGCGCTCCGGCGGCCAGCTGCTGCAATCGTGGCGGCTGCCCACGGTCGCCGACTGGGCCGGGGTGTGCGCCGTGCCCGGGTACTCGGGCGTCGCGTCAGGGGGGTAGGGGGGGAACGATAATTGGGGATGTGAAGAAAGCTGCACCCCTTGTGCCCGAGAAGGGGCCCCCGGGGCCCAAGAGGGCGCGAAAGTTGCACATCTCTTCGCCCCCCCCCCCTGCATGGTTCCCCCATCTTGCAGCGCCCAAGGCACGAGCTACTCTTCGTGGGCGCCGCGGTCGAGGGCGGGTCGGCTGGCATTTGGAGTGTGGGCGATCCGCTCCAAAGGTCAGGGGAGGAAGAGGTACCGATGTACCGCTGCTTGTCCTGGGGAGTCCTCGTCACCGCGGCTGGATTAATTTCGAAATCCTGGTCAGAGCGCACCCTCTGGATAGGTCTGGGGAGTATGGGGTACTGGTACCTTCTTGTCCCCCCAGGTCGGAGACGGGCATTCCGCTCGAGGTGTAGGCGGGGCAGAAAAGATACCGTCACACGACGTTCGCAGCCGCCACCACGCACAGCGTAGTGGACATTCTTCTGGGTAGGTTCGCGAGCGCGGGACGCTCAACGAATAATGTACATTATGTTTCGAGCGAAGGACCGCATGCCTTGGGATAAGTGTGTGTGCGGGCTCCTGTGTGGCATTGCCTTGCGCGCTTGTCTGAAGGAGGAGGAGCAGGAGGAGGAGCAGCCCCAGGAGTGCCAGCAGGAACGGGAGACCAAGGACGGACGGGGACGGGGAGGGACGCTGACGAGTTGCAGCACACGAACCTGGCAACGATGGCGGCGCGCGGACAAAGACGAGAATGAGAACGAGCACAAACACGGGCAACAAAGGGCGAACACGAAGTGAGGACGAGGACGATAGTGAGGACGAGCATGGCGTCAACGACGACGAGGATTTGCTATGGGCTGTTACAGGAGCGCCCCAGAACTTCACTGGCACCGTAGTGCAGACACCTAAGGCGGCCCAATCGCCTCGCACACGAATGCCTAGTGAACTGCAGTAGAGCCGCTCGACTGCAAGAGGGCCCTCCCTGTCTCCGACAACAGCGTCGAGCAAAATCATCTGGGCATCGCCCTTGGAGCGCACCTGAAGAGTGTTCTCCGTGTTCTGCCCGGCATCATCTTCGCATCCTAGTCCTTATGTTGATCGTCCTCTGCGTTATCCTCGGCCTCGTCCTCAACTCTGCCAATCACCACTCCTGCTCATCGTGCTCATGCTACTGGTTATGAATTCCATCTCCTCGTATTTAACTCCGTCCTGTCGCGCCCCGAGGCTAGTCGAAAGGGCGGGCCATGCGTTGCGCCTGAGACTTCCTCTCCATGGATGATCCTGAAGCCTGAAATTTGCAGGAGGGCGGGTGGTGTTCAAACTGTGGTTCTCGCTTTAGCGCCGCGCACATTCGTTTTAGAAATTTGCAAGAGCGTGACGAGTTGATGGCGCTTTTCAAAATGTGGTTCTCGATTTAGCACAGTGCACGGTCGTTTCCAAATGAGGCAAGGTTTTCACGGATTGAGGGCGGGTAGTTGTTTTATGTGGTGGTTCTCGTTTCCCATGCACTACATAGAATGCACCGCATAGCGTTCACCACCTAGCTTCCACCGCATAGTTTGCACCGCATGGCTTGCACCATATAGCTTGCACCACATGTAGGGCACCGCATAGCTTCCACCGCATTGCGTGCGCAACATAGTTATCACCATAGAACATGCACCACATGTGTCTCACTGTATTGCTTCCACCGTATAGCTTGCACCGCATTGCTTACACCACATAAGATATACCATGTAGCTTGCACCACATAGCTTGCACAACACGGATTGCACCGCATGGCGTCCACCACATGTAGTGCACCACCTAGCTTACATCATATAGTTTGTAACACCTAGCTTACACAACCGCCGCGCAGTAACGTACTGCTTGGGTGTCACGCGGTTTCCCCATCTGAACGTGTTTGGTTGCTCAACATGGCGTTCCCGCTGCTGCGTTGGCCTCATTTCAGGATCGGCACGTTGCTTCCGCCGTCGAGAATCGTGCGTTTGCCCCAGCGCGGGTCACATGCTGGATCCAAGTGTTGTTCCGCCACTTGTTCATCCTCCAGTGTACAGAGCTACCCTCTCTGATTGCGCATTGCACGATGGGGTCAGTTCAGGGATCCATGTTCGCTAGGACGCCAATCGGCGGACAGAACCAACATCGAGGGGCAGGACTGTGATTGGTGGGAGGGGTAGGATTGCAGGTGTGGTGCGCGCACCTAGTTTGCTATGAATACGACTTTCCTCGATCCCTGGAGTCTGTCCGAGCGAGGCCCAGTTTCGCCTGCAGATTGCGTTTTCATCGTTTTCGTTTTTTCTGTAAGATGTGCGTGTTGTTTGTATCGCAACGTTCTTGACATGTTCAAGTGCTCCCGCTACAGCGTTGGCCTCGTTTCAGGATAGGCACTTTGCTCCCACTGATCCGCCACCTGCTCTTCCTCCATGGTGCACATCGCCCCTTTCTGATTGCGCATGTCACGATGGGTCATGTGGAGGACTCAAGGTCCACGAGGACACCCGTCAGCGCAATGGGAAGGCATGGACGGGAGGGGTAGGATGTCAGACGCTGCGCGAGCGCACCCAGCTTGCCCCTCCCTCTCCCCCGCCTCCCACCGCCCCTCCCCCCCGCTCCCCCCCTACGCCTGATGGACAACATCCTGCGCATGTTCTGCTGATTTTTTCGAACGCCCCGCGCGACCCCAATTTCATCGTTGCGGGCTGCGCCGCGATGTGTCGACTTGTTGGCTGGCCGAAACCCTGCGCCCCGCCTGCGATGCCAACCAACATTGACTCGGAGGCAGGGTGGCGTATTGAATCACCGAGCGCGTTGCACTACTCTCAAAGTGCCTACTCGCAAACGTCCGAAAAAAAAACATATGCTCGTTTCGGCGAAATGGATCGTAGATCCTCCGCGGCGAATCGAGGTCATTTGCGAGTAGCTACTTTGCGAGTAGTGGAACGCGCTCGTCTGTTGAAGTTTGCGCCATCGCCCCCGTCGCGCGGGTGATACAGAATTTTGCCCCTGAACCGTAGGACGACTCCCGACCCGCCTTCGGCCCACGGCAGGGCGCAGATGCTGTCGTTCTGGACCGGACTCGCGGTCATGGGTGCCTTGTTCTTGCTGGTGCCCTCCACGTTCGGCATCGCAATGGACGGGGGGGGCGGGGAGGAAGAGAAGGAGGAGGAGGAGAAGGAGGAGGAGAAGGATGAGAAGGGAGGATCCAGGCGCACGCGTGCGCGACACGCTTGGCTTTCGCCCAGGGCAAAAGGTATCAACGGACGCTGGCGACTTATGCGCCCCAGTCACGATCATGATGGGAATGTTTATTCATGATGACGTTAATGACGATGATTGTTATGATTTGTATGATAGTGAAGTTTATTATGATGCTGCGGGTGATGCGTATGAGACAGAAGAAGAAAAGGCACCATATAATGATGGGGATGAAGATGAAGATGATGGCGATGAAGATGATTCTGTTGATGACGATGATGATGATGATGATGATGAAGTTGATGACGATGATGATGATGATGATGATGATGAAGTTGATGATGATGATGATGATGATGATGATGATGATGATGATGATGATGATGATGATGATGATGATGATGATGATGATGATGATGATGATGATGATGATGATGATGATGATGATGATGATGATGATGAGGCTGAGGATGAGGATGAGGATGAGGATGAGGATGAGGATGATGATGAGGATGAGGATGATGAGGATGATGATGATGATGATGATGATGATGATGATGATGATGATGATGATGATGATGATGATGATGATGATGATGATGATGATGATGATGATGATGATGATGATGATGATGATGATGATGATGATGATGATGATGATGACGAGGACGAGGAGGAGGAGGAGGAGGAGGAGGAGGAGGAGGAGGGGGAGGGGGAGGGGGAGGAGGACGAGGAGGTAGAGGAGGAGGAAGAAGAGGAGGAGGAGGAGGAGGAGGAGTTGTAGGAGGAGGAGGAGGAGGAAGAGGAGGAGGAGGAGGAGGAGGCGCCGAGGCCTGCAGCTGGGGCAATATATGCGGCAGCGGGGAATTTGGGGTTCGTTTCGTTTTTCATTGGGCGCCGGCCTCCAGTGGCCGCCTCCAGGCCCCGGAGCTCCCAGACACAGACCTGGGGTGAAAACCTGTGCCGCAAGGAAACGGCGAGGGGTCCGGGGACCGACTTTTGAAGCTTGCCCTCGGTGCGCGCCGCTTCGCCTTACTGCCTCCTGCGCGCCGTCGACGGTGCCAGCCGCCGTGCAGCGACCTGGCCGAACGCGCCCCCAACGACCGCAGCCCGCGGGGAGGGCGCGGCCGAAGACTCCTTCGCCGCCTTCCCCGGAGTTGCTGATTCGACGAGGGAGCGCCGAGGCCTGCAGCTGGGACGCCGGCGGAAGGGGGAGGACACCGTCACACCATTCGGCCCCCTCAGGAGGCCTCTGCGAAGAAAGCCGTTCCAGGAGGCATTTCGTGGTCAGCCCGCCCTCGTTGCCAACGTTAGGAAGCACTGCCTTTTGTGGGTCGAACGCTACTTCGGCACAGCTCCGCGCCCTGATCTGCCGCACCGAACTTTTAAAAGCATCGGGTTTTGTGCAAACCAACATAACAAATGATCGCGGCGATGCTCCGCGAAGGGAGTCATCCATCTTGCTGCCTGGCCCATGGATTCCAATGCTCTGCGGGCACACATGCCTTTTCATGCCACGGGACATTTTGTTTTCTTCGATTCGCATGCTATCCAAAGCAAGGCACGCACATGCATCAACGTCCGCACTCCTCTTTGCTTCTCTGCAAGAGCAGAACACGTCGCGCATGCGTGCGCCCAGTGCTAGGGAGGACATCAAGAGAAACGCTTGTTTTCCACAGATATCAGCCATGCCTGTGACATTATCACTGGTCACTGGTCCTGCTTCGTCTAGCCTTTCCGTGCGCCTTGATTGCCACATATCGGGAAAAGTATCATTGCGCGCGCCTGTCATTTCCAGCGCTGCCGTTCTCGCAGGCGGGGAGGAGAAGCAGGAGAAGCACGAGGAACAGCAGGCACAGCGCCAGCTTGAACAAAGCATGGTATGGAATGGGCTTGCGCTAAGCGCAAGGTCAAGCCCAAATTATCCGAGCTCGGTTTCAGCCTCGCAGTCTTCGGCGCAGTCCTTCGCGCCTCGCTGCAGGAATAGGCGGCCGAGAACGCGGACTTGCTCGAGCTCCCCCTCCCAAAGCCCTAACACCATCGAAACCTCCGCCCGCCATCCCTTGTCGGCCCTACCCCAGTAGCCTCCCACCCCGACGCGTTGGGCCAAGGGTGGCGGCTCTGGCGGTGGCGCGGCTCCGACTGGGCCTCCAGATTGGAGCGGACCTACGGCAACCCTCCATCTGGCCGCCCAAACTTTAGGTCCCGCATGTTTGCTCGATACGAGGGGAGCGCTCCGTTCTTAATTCGTCTCTGCTGGTCCGAATAGCCAGCATTGACTTGCTCCGTCCTGCGCCTGTTCGAGAGGCCCGAGGTGGGCTTCCCATCTGAAGTTGAAGCAACAGCCCCGCAATGGCAGCAGAAAGCGGTGAACGAGACAGGGGCAGTGCGGCTGAGCACCTCAGCCTGGAGCAAACTGTGGCCACGCCACCACAAAGTTGCATCAGCGAGCTCCCCCAACCCCTCGCCCACCCCGTATCCAAATTTGCGCGACGGCCCGATCTCCACCCATCGGCCCCCGACCTTGGGCATGACCTCAGGCTCGGGAACCTCGGGGGGCGCGGGGTCGCCAAGAGCCTTGGGGCCTCGGGAGCGCCAGTCGGCCTCCATCAAATCAGCATGGTCCTGGCTCTCAGATTCAACGTGCACCACCGCCGCCCAGAGGGCGGATTCTGCTGTCAAACTTGTAACCTTGCCACAGATCAACCTGCTCAGTGCCTACTTCGTGCACGGCGGCTCCGAGCTCGGTGAGTAGGTCGGCATGGGCGTTACCTTTGAACTCCCTCTCGGTTGTGGCTCCTGCTTCTACTTGGGCCCTCGTGCAATGGACTTTGGTTACTCTTCTCGCGAACTTGGAAATCGCCGCCCGAGAACGCGCCCCAGAACGGGGCCCGGAGCTGAGCCCGCGATCCATGAACAAGTCCGCTGGAGCGAGCGCGCAGACCCCCGACATTGGGACCGCGAAGCCCTCCGCGTCCCGTGCGCTCTGCCCAGGGCCCGTCTGCACGGGGGCACGGGTCCGCGCGCTGCCCACTCCAGAGCTCCAGGCCTGCCTGCTCGGACGATCGCCCAGCCCGCACGGGCCAGCCGTGGGGGGGGGGAGGGCGCTGGCCCACAGGGCCGAGCCGTCCAGGAGAAGCGCTCCAGACAGAAGTCAGGAGGGAAAGAACACGGAGACACAATGAATCGTGGACTCCCCAGGAAAGTTGGGAAACTATGGGAAGTGGGGGGGAAGACGAGACGAGAACCCAGAAAATACCTATACGACCACCCTTCGGGTGATACGGAGGTTGTGGGGGGGGGAGAGGTGGGGGAACCAAGATCTGACTCAATCGATCTCACTATCGATCTCACTTCACGGGACACCTCGGGACACCACATCGATCTCACCATCGATCTCACTATCGATCTCATTCAACGGGACACCATGGGACACCTCTTGATCTCACTATCGGTCTCATTATCGATCTGACCACCGATCTCATTCAACGGGACACCTCGGGACACCACATCGATCTCACGATCGATCTCACTATCGATCTCACTTCACGGGACACCTCGGGACACCACGGGACACCTGTCGATCTCACTATCGATCTCACTTTTTGGGACACCACGGGACTCCTCGGGGTACCACATCGATCTCTGTATCGATCTCACGATCGACCTTACTATTGATCCCACTCAACGCGACACCACGGGACACCTGTCGATCTCACTATCGATCTCACTTGTTGAGACACCAGGGGACACCTCGGGGTACCACATCGATCTCAGTATCGATCTCACGATCGACCTTACTATTGGTCCCACTCAACGCGACACCACGGGACGATTGTCGATCTCTTTATCTATCTCATTTTTTGAGACACCACCGGACACCTCGGGGCGCCACATCGATCTCAGTATCGATCTCACCATCGATCTCACTTCACGGGACACCACGGGACACCACCACACACCGCGGGACACCGCGAGCCACCGCCAGACGGACGGACGGACGGGCGGGCGGGGGAGAATCATTTGTCTTGACTTGGCCCTAGCAGCGGCGGACACCACGGGACACCACGGGACACCGCGGGACACCTCGGGCCAACGCCCGGACGGGCGGGCGGGGGAGAATCATTTGTTTTGACTTCGCCTTAGCAAGGGCGGACACCACGGGACACCATGCGACACCGCGGGCCACCTTCGGACGGGCGGGTGGGGGAGAATCATTTGTCTTGACTTCGCCCTAGCAACGGCGGGTTCATTCCTCTCGCGCGCCCACGCAGCTTCGCCTCGCCCTCACGCACAACACGAACGAAACGAAACGATTTCCCAGTTGGGGGTCTCCGTTCCATTGCGATCTCACCCCCCAACTTACGATTGGAAAATATGGGCAACCTGGGATTTGTGTGTATTTTGTTTATGTGTCCCTGGGCCCCCTCAAGAAGCCTCGATTCAGCACGGCTGTGCCAGAGGAGCTCTTGTGCGGGCTCTACAGGGGCGGGGAAGACTAACCCAGGCGACGGGAACAGACCTCGCGCGAACATGTCACCCATGTCGAACAATCTTTCCTTGACCCTCCTGGCCCTCCTCCTGTGGAAATCGCTGGCCCACTCACGACGAAGAGGCTCGTGCTTTGGGCGGCAATGGGCCATGTGCCGTAAGGACCCATCAGGGTCACCACACACACACACAGCAATATGTGGAGCTTGCAAGCCCGTGAGGATGAAGCCGAACTTGCGGCCAATACCCCCAGATATCAAGGATCTCAAAGTCCGCTGCGACCCCTTTGTCCAGGAAGCTTTCGCACGATGAAGCAAAGCCTCGAGACCGCTCCAGAAGATGGGCATGCACCACTCTACTTTTGGCTCCTGGCTCGCGGGCGCCGGCCTATCCGAAGCTTTCCCAGCACCGAGGACAGCAAGCTATTGTGCAAGGGCTGGGGGCAC